ATAATTAGAAATTGAATTAAAATTATTCTATTTTTGAAAAAATAAATATAAAATTTGATTAAATATTTAATAATTTCTAAATTTTTATGTCTTTAATCTTTATATTTGAATTAATATAGAATTTTGAAATAAATGACTTTTAGTAGTTTTTGATGTGATATATACTAGCTAAATTGAGGTCGGCATTCATTCAAAACGAGACCGAGTATATCCTAAATTCCCCAACATAAATAGAATTTTAAAACTTACATTTAGAATTTTGGAAATCTATCTATCTACCTATCTACCTATCTACCTACCTACCTCTATCTACCTACCTACCTCTATCTACCTACCTACCTCTATCTACCTACCTACTCACTTACTTATATATCCATCAAATACTATAGATCCATTTATTCACTCACTCACCCACTCACTCACTCACTCACTCGGTAGGGAAAGAGGGGCGTTTATGTGTGTCGGTTGCGAAAGATTGGCGCTTCATCTCCGGTGTTTATGCATGTCATGATTTACCTATTTACTAGGTAGGTAGGTTTGGTGGGTTGGGATGGGATGAGTAGTTTATCTATTTTTTTGGAATTTGATTTTTGATTTTTGATTTTTGGGGGGGAGGAGAGGTGAGGGAAGAGGGAAGAGGGGTGAGTAGTGAGTGGTGTAATGAAGAATTGGGAGAATTGGGAGAATTGGAATGGATGAATAAATGAATGAATGAATATATGAATTGTATAGTATTACATCTGCGCTTCCTATCCTATCCTATCCTATTTCCTATCCTATTATATTAATAACCCTTTTTATAGTCAGAGTCATCGTCAGAGTCATCGTGAGAGTCAAGAGTCAAGAGTCAAGACAGAGGAGGATAGGAGATGAATCATGAATGGGATGTTGAATTTTGAATTGAAGGGTACGGGTGGATAGGTAGGTGGGTAGATATATTGTGGAGTATTGGTAACCTATTGTGTTTGCTCTATATTTGTTTGTATGTATGTTTGTAGCAATAAATAAATGGATGGATGGATGGATGCGCAGTGGAGAACTAAAGATAGAGGATGTGTTGAGATGGAGATGAAGATGAAGATGATCATTTTTTGGTTTTGGAGAGAGAGGGAGAGAGAGATTGTGTAATGTAATGTAATGTAATATATGTGTATGTGTATATATATGTAGTGTGGATGGGCTTTCTTTTTGATACTTGAATTAGAATTACGGAATATAGATACCTATAAAGAAGATATATTAATTAAAGGAAAATTTACCAATGATGATGATGATGATAATGATGATGAATGATGACTTCACAACGCGTTTTGTTATGATGGAGTAAATATAATACCAAGTTAGTCCCCGGGTTAGTAAGAAACTTCAAGGTTCATCCTTTGGTATTCCATGGATCTCGACATCAGTGTACGGTGTACAAATTCGATCTCGACTAAAATCTGGATTCACCGGTACATGAAGAGAGGATTATTTACTCACCGGGGGATCCTAGAGAGGGGGAAGACGGAGAGACAGATATATACAATTCAAGGGACTAATGACGATCTGAATATTTGTCGACGGAACAGAGGACTTACTGACTTATTATGTACTCACAAACGAACAGACGAACAGACGAACAGACGAACAGACGAACAGACGGTCAATCCCACCCAAAGAAAACCTACCTACCTACCTTCCTTGAGCCTACCTCCCTAAAAGCCTAGTAAGTACCCAAGTACCTCTCCAGGATCCTCGCATGCCACGTCAATGCAAAGAAAGGCAAAGAAAGTTTTCCCGCTGGATGAGATGATGATGATTATGCCATCTCGCCATTTGGAAAGGATGCGTACCTATCCTATGGAACCACATCATGCATCCCAAGAAAGACATGGCCTCGCATCTAGGATCCCCCTCATTCGCGTCCGGCGTCTGTCGTTCGAGGAGCGAGCTAGAAGGCTGTCAGAATCAGCATCAGATGGTTTCTTTGGTCGCTCGCTCGCTCGCTCGCTCACCGTTGGATGGGATGGGATGGGCGGGCTTGGGCTTAAGGTTTGTGATGTTATGCCAGAGAAAAGGCGAGAGCGACGCGCTGATGGTTGATTGGTTCATTGGTGGGTGAGTGGGAATGAGGTTAATGCATGATAATGTGTACATGATAATTCTAGAAGGAGAGATTTCCGGGGATTTCTTTTGTTCGTCTGATGGATCAAGGAATAACCCGTTTCGTTTCTTTTCTCCCCCTTTTCGTTGCGAGAGTGCGCTTGCGAATGGGGATGGAGATGCTTCGTACACAGATGTAAATGGTAATATGGTATTCCCAGGACGATTCATGCACAGAGTTCGGGGTGATGGATTTGATAATAAGTTTATGTGATCCGCTTGTATTGTATGTAATGTAGAGGAAAGGGACGGAAAAAGGAAAAGAAAGTCTTGTTCTTTTGCATGGAGATTTTGCGCGTGAAGAGTGGACTTGTTCGTTTGGACTTTGCTTTGATTTGTGTGTGTTCTAAATACTTATTTATCTACCTATCTACCTACTTTGCATTTTCAAAGTGTCAAGTTCGATATCTTTCTGGATCGATTACCTACTTCACCCATCCCATCTGATATCCATCCACAAGCCGAAGACGAGGACCTAGACGCAACAGCGAACGCGAACGAATCTTTGATACCAGCCAGCCAGCCAGCCAGCTACTGAATTGGATTTGATTCATACGATAGTATTCTTACAACTTGCTTTATTTCTCTATAGGTATGCTATACATTATCTCATTCATTCATTCATCCATCATCCTCCCCTTATGGTTCCTGCGTGGTATGAATCTCAAAAAGTATCAAACCAAACCATCCATCCCACCATTTCCTATCCACATCTCACGGGAGTCAGTGCAAGTCCAGAGGTAGTGTCGGTAGTGCAAGCATGCATTTCTTTTTCCCCATCAGAAATGCACTTCACAATGCGCATGCGTGCCTTGCATTGGCTTGCTTCCCTTGTGTGCGAAGCCCGCTCCGTTCATCCACCGCCCTGGGCGTTTCATTTTCCCTTCTCCTTTTTCCCACTTTGAACGTCCCCCGGGCCCCATCCCATCCACCCTCGCTAAATGAAGGAAAAGGAAATTACGACTACTTGGGAGAGATTGAGGAAGAAGGTTTGGGCTGACCCAGAGAAAGTTGGAATTGGGAATTGGAAGAAGGGTGAGAACTTGGAAGAAGAAGAAGAAGGGAACGAGAGAAGAGAAGAGAAGAGAAGAGAAGAGATCTTTATTGTTAATCTTAAGGGTTGATATATCAGATCATCGAGGGAAGATTTGTGGTTGTAGTTGTGGTAAGAAAGAAAGAAAGAAAGAGAGAAAGACCTGTTAGGTACTTACCGACTTACCGACTTACAATATAGTACAGGATAGTGCATTGCATTACAGTACAGTACAGTACAGTACAGTACAATACGAGAACATAATACCTATACAGACATCCATACATATATGGAAAAGAAAAGGCAGGAAAGGAAAGAAGAAGAAAAAGAAAGGAATATCGATTGATCCATAATTGTAAGTAATTATTTCAAATTCATATTTTATTTTTATTTTTTTTATGTCAAGTTTCTATCTACACCTACACCCATACATGTACCTACACCGAGAGTTTCCCTATTCCGTATTCATATACGGAGTACAGACAATCAGTATCTACACCCAAGGAGCCAAAGACTCAAGGACCAAGGACCCAAACACAGGGAACGTGGGAATGAATTATGAGCATCCACCTAGATTAGATACTGTACCGACTCAATACCCAACCGTCCATAGTCAATAATAGTCAATACAACAGCCTAGCACCCAGCACCTAGCACCTAGCACTCAGCCCGCACCCAGCACTCCAATCACTATCATATCTTATTTACAGAGCACTCCCTGGGAGCCTTGATATCACATACCTATCATCACATCATCACATATCATCAGCCCAGTGTTACACCTGCGAAACGGCGGGAAATCACTATAAACACGCTTCTTCTCTCCGGAAAAGGAGCATAATCTCGAAGCTTCATGCTCTAAAGCTTGATGCTCTGGGTACAAGGTGCTGGATTCCCTCGGTCGCATCTGAGATTTCTGAGATTTCTGAGATTTGATAGAGGTCTCGGGGTATATCGCTGGGTATATCTCGAGGGATATCTCTAGGGATATCTCTAGGCACATCTCTAGGTGCATCTTTTTTACCCCTGGGCAAATCCATCGGATCTACCTCCTCTGTACAATTCTCTCTCTCTTGTCTCTCGATTCACTATCCTCTGCATTTCCTCTGCATTTCCTCTGCATTTCCTCTGCATTTCCTCCATCTTATGCCTTATTATATTCCTGACTGAGGGATTACCTGATTGATCTTATTTCCCACCTTGTTATTCCTTTTTCCTTTAATCGACTTACCCACAACACGACCAGTCTACCACCACCACCTCACTCACTTTACTCTCCCTCTCCCTCTCTTACCGTTTTACACTCATTCGCCCACCATCTTTCTCTTCATCCCTCTCTCTCTCTCTCTCTCTCTCTCTTTCTCTACCCTCTCTCCCCCTCTCTATTTAACCTTCTTGTTGTACATTTGAAAGAAAAAGAAAGAAAAACCTTACCACATACAATCCAACTTACATACTGTCGTTAAACTAGAAAAGAGAGAAGCACAAGCAAGAAGCAGAAAAGCCCAAACAATAACCACAAGAAATCCTCCATACGAAAGAAAAAGGAAAAGGAAAATCAAAAAAGGATTAATCATAACAACCAATAAAACATCGCCAAAGAAGATTACCATCCATCACAATTTACAATTACAACAATTACAACAATTACAACAATTACAACAATTACAACAATTACAACAATTACATTCACATTCACATTCACATTCACATTCACATTTTACATATTACATTTTACCATCTCACCTCTCTTTCACCATTTCACCATTTCACCCACCCAATTCGCCCAATTCGCCCAATTCACCAGACCTTACCTTAACCTTGACTACCTACCTACCTACCTACCTACCTACCTACCTTTTGCTTCTTCCCTCTCTCTCCCTCCTCTCTCCCTCTCTCCCATCAAGAGGTAGAACAGAAGAAGGGTACTTACATACTTCCTACCTATCTACATCGAGATTCGACCGAGAAAAAAAACAAAAATTCAAAATTCAAAATCCAAAACAAAAAACTCAATTCGATTCATCTCAATCTCCAATCTCAATTTCAATTTCCCATCTTGGGGGTCTTGCTTTACTTTCTCCCCAGCCACCCACATTTAATTACGCTCTCTACTGGTACCTACCTACGCATTATAATCAATCAAATCAATCAAATCAAATCAAAGCAAAGCAACTTTGGGTTCAATTGATCCGCCAACAACCGCACATACACTCACTCACTCACACTCACACTCACACTCACACTTATACACCCTCATACATTCACCACCAAAAGACCATAAAAAAAAAAGAGAGGGTCGACACTAACGAAAGGAGCCGTTCACCAGTTCCCGCCGTAACCCATATTCCTCGACCGCCTACTTTTTCGTTAGGGAGCTACGATATCTAAACATAATAGTCGCCCAAATCCAAATCCAGCGCCAGCCGCGACACTCTTTTTTAAATTTGGTCGAAAACTCTAAAAAAAAAAAATCCAACAATCCTCTCATTGATAATTGTTATCGCCAGCATTCCCAATATCCCCCTGTCCCAAAGGTGCAATTAATTTTCCTCGATCCTCCCCCCTCCCATGATGTTAGTTGGTGGAAGTAGGTGATAGACCGGCGAAAACCTCGCAATCCTAATAGCACCTTCTGAATCGTGCCTCAGCAACGGTTGTGGTAATTTCCGCTTGCTAGACACCCAATCTGCGATTGACAACAGTGCGCAAAATTTACAAGATATGTCTTCAGCCGCTTTGCAGACCGCCCCTCATCAACCAACATCAATAGGATCGCAATCTCCAGTGGCAGCACCATCCTCCTCGGGGAGACCTTACACTTCGGGCTCACAACAATCGCGAGACCCTTACTACAACCAATCCACCACCAACGCTTCTCCCTCCTCTGCAAGAAAACCATCTCGAAGGCCGAGCGGCAATGGCGCATCTACAAACACACCTCCCCAACCCCAGTACACCTCACCTTCGGTAACCACAAACTCAGCTCCAATAAATCCTCGCAGTAATCACCCTTCACATCAAATCTCCCCAACCACCGCCACATCCCCTTCGAGTTTTGCTCCAATGGCTCTGGGCGATCATCAACGAGGTGTGCCCCCAATGGTCTCGGAAAGATCTTCTTCAAACAGACCGAGTACAGCAATAGCGGCTGCCACTTCGGCCACCAATCGTAGCTCGAGTTCAAGACGAGGTGAACATTCGGACGAGCCGCGGGCGAGAGATTCCCCACGTCGGGCACAGTCACAGGAGAACCAGTATCACGAGAGGAGGAATATACAAACCAATGGAACGAGCAGTGAGGATGCAACAGCTGCTGCCACAGCGGCCACTCGAGCCAGACGCAGAGCTCAACAATCACCTGAAGCTCTACCGCATAGACCGAGTGGAAGTCGTGAGCAGAGAGCTGGTCCACCTCCTAATGCACAAAATAGATCACATCCAGCGGGTACCAATTCACCTGCTGGACTGTCCCACGAAGCAAGTGAGGTGTTGAATCGTGTGATTGTGAGCGATCCCAAGGTGGATTTGGAGCGAGAGAGGGAACGAATGGCGGAGGCCGTACCTAACGCTGTTGCAGCTCCTCCCGTGGTTGAAGAAGCTCCTCGGCAGCAGAGATCCCGTCATGATCACTCAGCAAACTCTGGGAAACGTGAAAAGAACAGTAAATTCGGTGAGTACTATCTGGGCAACACTCTTGGAGAGGGAGAATTTGGTAAGGTGAAAATGGGCTGGAAACAAGCAGGTGGTACTCAAGTAAGTCCTTTCACTGAATATTGATTTGGTGCTATGCTAATTTTATCCTCCTAGGTCGCTATCAAACTTATCCGCCGCGATAGTGTCGGGACGAACCCTACGAGACTTGCAAAGATTTACAGAGAAATCGCCATTCTTCGAGAGATATCCCATCCCAATATTGTTCAGTTACATGAGATGGTGGAGACAGAAAAGCAAATTGGTATTATTCTGGAGTATGCTTCAGGGGGAGAACTCTTTGACTACATTCTCAACCACCGATACCTCAAGGATAACGCTGCTCGCCGCCTGTTTGCTCAATTGGTCTCTGGTGTTGGATATTTACATAAGAAGGGAATTGTTCACCGAGATTTGAAGCTTGAGAACCTTCTGCTGGATCGCAACCGCAACATTATCATTACGGATTTTGGTTTTGCAAACACCTTTAACCCCGACGATGAGCTTGGAGACGAAATCGAGTACAACTTAGCTAGTCGTGACTACGTCAAGCGTATGGAGTTGGATAAGATTTTACCTGGCGGCTCGCGGAGAGGAGATCTGATGCAGACAAGTTGTGGCAGTCCGTGCTATGCAGCTCCAGAATTGGTTGTGAGTGATTCGCTATACACCGGCCGCAAGGTCGATGTATGGAGTTGCGGAGTAATCTTGGTAAGTCTTGATGTTTGCACCTGTTGCTAGTTGCACCCACCGCTAACATGAATTCAGTATGCAATGCTTGCAGGATATCTACCTTTCGATGATGATCCAGCCAATCCTGAGGGCGACAACATTAACCTTCTCTACAAATATATAGTTTCGACACCACTTACCTTTCCAGAATATGTTACACCGCATGCTCGAGACCTTCTCCGACGTATTCTCGTCCCAGACCCACGCAAACGTGCAGATCTATTTGAAGTTGCCCGACACAGTTGGTTGAGCGAATATGCGCATGTCGTTGGCTTCATTACTAGCAGCACAACTACTACTGTAGAGATTGCCAACACTACTGTCCCATCTGATGAACCTCAAGAAGCTCCTCTGCTTGCGAGAAGTGCTTCAGTTCGGGAACCCAAATCACAAAAGGCACCCGCAGCCGTTGGGGATCTCAGTAGGAAACACGGGCATGTGGATCAAGATGGAGAAGAGGCACCTCCCAAAACTTCAAAGGACAACAAGAGACGAACTGTACAGGTCGAATATGTGGCTCCAAGATCACAAACACAAAGAGGCGAGCCTTCTACCAACTCGTCCAGTGCTCAATCCGGTTCGAGAACACGCGCTCGTGCTGGCAGCCAAGGCCCAGTCGAGATTTCTGGAGCTCAAGGCTCTAGAAGAAATGTCCCTGCAGGAGATATGTCATCGCCTCAGGATCCTTCAATGACAAGAGAAGCCCAACAAGCAGCCTCGGCAAGACGAACGGGAAGCTCACAGCGACAACAAGGTATGGTTCCACCTCCTCGACCTACTCGGGATCACCGCGCAGCTTCAGACATTAACTATACGACCCCAGTGACTGGCCAACCATCAATCGCAAGACCAACTACCGGTGGTTCCATGACTTCTAATAGATCTGGATCTATGGGCTTCCCAACCCGTGGATCTTACAGCCAGCCTGTGGCCCCAACCGTCGCTGGAACTAATGCTCATGGCCGTATGTCTCAACCTCAACCAAAGAGCTCGAACAGTTACAACATTTCCCCTCCTATGATTCAAGGCGAACAAACCTTTGAATACCCTCCTCAATCAACTTCTCAACCTATAGCTCCAAAATTCGCCAGAGTCGCAGGACTTCCAGCAGGAACTGCAAATGTACCATCTGAGGGTAGCAAGACTCACAAGAGATCAAACACGATCGGGGGCATATTTAGCAGAACCAATTCGCTTTTTGGTGGTAAATCACACGCAGAGAAATCTTCAGAAAAACCAAAGAAGTCATATCCTCCAGTCAGCATGTCAAATGCCAATATCATAAATACCGATGACTCGAGACAGTCGATAGACTCTAGACGCTCCATATCATTTGGGTTTGGCAAAAAGAGAAGTGGAAGTATAGCTGGGCGATCCACGACAGGTTCTCAGGAAAAAGCTTCAAGAAGATTCTCTCTCCTCCCGGCATCTTTCTCTTTAAAATCTATTGGTATCGGTAAAGATCCAAATACCCCACCTGCTAGCACTCCAACCGATGGTCACTATGAGCCATATCCCGAAATGCAAGGTAATCATCTTGACGCGTCGCAGGACAACAGAAATGTTAGTGGAAGTACAGCCGAATATCAGCATGCGGATGCAGCATATGATCCAAACCGCGCTAGCCCAGCACAACAAGAAAGACAACGTTTTGCTCAACCACAACAGCAGAATCCAGATTCTAGGATGGGTGGCCCACCACAATTCTTACCGCCGGCAAACTTCCGCCAAGATGAATCGGCATTGACGACTGATTCCGAATCTTCATTTGGTCAAAGTCGACGTGGTCCATATCAGAATGACAATAATAACTCATATGAAGACTCGCGACGACCATCAGGACGCAATAATGGTAGAGGTGTACTACAGAAGAACAATCGCAAGTTTGCCGATGCTTATGATCAAGAGCATGCACACAATGATCATGGTGGTAGTAGTGGTGCAGCTAGAAAGGTCATGGACTTTTTCCGAAGACGTGGAAAGGCTCGTGGAGAGTGAAAGTCGTTTGGAGATAATAATCCTTTTTAAATGATATCACTTCAACATATACACGATAAAAACTTTGTTCAATTCTGGATTTATGCATAAGCTTTCAGCGAAAGCACCGGGAACTTGCGATTCAGCTTTTGGTCTGATTGACAGCAAGCTTTGCTTTCATTTCTCTAGAACGGCTTGGCGGGCCTGCTGGATTTTGGTGCGGGAGGTTGGAGGTGGAGTGTGGGCAGGCGTTCTCTTGCATTTCATCATATGGTTCGCTTGTTATATCTTCTCGCGCTCAACTCGATTTCAACCTGGACCTGGACCTGAACTTGTGAATCGCGAGTCTCATCATTGATGGACGAGATATTTGACTCGCTTTTTATTTTTTGCTTTCGCTGTGGATAAGATTATATCTTGGGGTTATGGGAGTTGAATTGAGTAGCATTTGTGTTGTCTGATTGTGAAGAGTAGTCGAATAGTTTATTTTTCTCTTACCTTTAGCTTTTTAAAGTTGTTGTTTCGCTTTTTTTTACCTTCTCTTCTCTATTAATTTGGTGGTGTGGGGAATGAGATGAGAAAGGGGAGTGGGATATCTTATTGGGTGGTGTGATAGTGGGTAGTGGAGTCTCGAATAATGGGTTCCTTGTGAGAGAAGAAAATACGCGTGTGCTTGATTCATGGATGGAGATTACTGCTAGATTTGGCGGGTCTACAATATTGAAGGTGGGATGAGAGATAGAGCATGCGTGTGGAGGGGGATGGGTCTTGAGACTTGAGAAGCGAGAAGCGAGACTTTGTGACGGAGGAAAGGGGAGGATTTTGAGGGGAGTAGAGAAGAGAATTGCGAGAAAAGCGAAGTGAGAGAAAGGGGAGAAAGATGATGATGGATTGGGGGATATGAACCCTGGGTAAATCATTTGTAATAATTGAGAGTGAAAACAGAAACAGCATCTTTTGAAAGAAGACTAGGGATTTTTGAGGTTATGCACGTGTGATGTAATGTGATGTGTGAGTTATAATTTGATCGAATGGTTCGTTCAAGGATTGAGAAGTTAAAGCTATGATAGCCATGGATACTTTAGAATCCGAAAGTTAATATGGTAAAATTCAACCAATTTGAATTTGAATTCCTTTGGTAGGTAGGAGTAGATGGTTTTGGGTTTTTGATATATGAACTTCAAAGTACATATCTAATCCTGGCCTGGGACCCCGGTGAGCTCGGACCAGTCCCATCGTTGGCATTCCAGACGTCATTGAAACCCCGTACCTTCCTCATGTGAACCCGCCACTACCACAATGTAACCTAGCAGAAACCCTTTTTCTAACTCCAACTCTAAACTACTTTTTCTCATAAACCTGCATACTAATAATCTTCCCGTACAGTGAAAATGGATCAACCCATAAATTTAATTTCCGCGCTACTTCAACCCACTCCCAACGAGTCTATCCGCGATACTCTCAATACTTCTCGACCCCTCATCACTCATCTTAATGCAGACACTACATGGCTTCTTTCGATACCGTACCCTAAAACAGCGGAAACCTCGTTCAATAAAGCATATTATCACATTTTGATTGATCCATGGCTACGCGGTGGCCAAAGTGATGTTGCTGCCTTCTTCAGTCAACAATGGCATGCCAATCCCAGCGCAGTGCAAAGTATCGCCGAGATTGAAGAGTTTATCAAGAGTATTGAGGAAGTTGCACTGGGGAAAGAAATCGCCGGCGATGGAGGCTGGATTGATGCAGTGGTGGTGAGCCATGAATTCACAGACCATATGCACAAGGACACTTTACTCGAAATTCCAAATACCATTCCGGTTTTTGCAACTGCGAAGGCGGCGGTGGCGATAACGTCTTGGGCACATTTTGATCATGTGGAAGAGATATGTAGGTTTGATGGTGATTGGAAAGAGTCTTCTACAAAGTATTTACCAGATTGGGTGGGTATATCGAGAGTGGCGAAAGCGGGTGTGGATTTGCTCTATTATCATTCTGCTATTATGATTACATTCTCGACATTTTCGGAGAGGAATATTTCAGATGAAGATGCGAATGACGATATACCTGAAGCTGTGATATATACACCTCATGGAATCGACCCTGGAGATCTTACATTGGTGGGAAATGCTCAACCGCCTATTCAGACCCTCGCGTTATTACATGGATTGCAGGACATTTCGTTACCTCGAGCACAATTGAATAAAGGGGCACACAATGGATTGAAGGTTCAAAGGTTGTTGAATGCAAAGTACTGGGTTGGTACGCATGATGAGGTCAAGGTGGGTGGAGGAATCGTGAGCTGGTTTTTGAATCGTAAAGTTGTGACGCTGAAGGAAGCGTTGGAGAGAGAAGCCGAGGAGAATGGCGAGAGTGGTGATGTAGAAAAGGTAGGGGATATTAAATTTTTGGAAGTGGGAAATGGCGAGAGCTTAATTTTGATGTGATGGCTTTCTAATCTATTCCAAGCGGTCTTTGCAAATTCTGGTATATCTTCAAACTTGCAATTTTTACCGAGGAGATTTTTTGGGTGTATCAATCCTTGAAAGGACTTGTAGTCATTGGCCGAATTCGTCTTTGATCCTTGTTGTTGTATATCTATTTCAACCATTGGTTGTATGCTTTCTTTGTTTCTTTGTGCTGGTTGGAATGACAGTCGTCAATTCTCTCTCTACAGCAACAGCAAATGTTTTCGTAGCATGCGTCCGATTGTATCCATCGGCAAGACAGCTAAATTAGATTGAAAATTTCTCTCGAACAGTCCTTGCTCTACTATTGAACATGCCTCATCCTCCTCCTCCGTGTTGGCGACCGCATATACCTCGTACTGAGCTTGCGGACGTATACGGCCATCTCGCCGAGCCAGAACTTCAAGGTGTTATACCATTAAAGAGCGGCCTCACGCCAGTAACTTTGAAACCGCATTCTACCTATGATGAGAGAAAATTCGCCGACGATGTGCGCTGGCTACAGAGGCTTTGCTTGGCAGGTGTGTAAATCTCACTATATATCACAGATCTTTGCTAATATGTTCTGCCTCCAGATTTTACCGCTGCAGAGTTGGAGAGGTTAGATGTCTTGGCACCACTTTACCATATCTATGAAGACGAAACTGCAATTAACCCAAATGCGGACATTACCATCCATCCTGTAATGCAAAGAAAAAAGTGGAATTACCCCTTGCCAAAACAATTGGCTGACTTCCCTTTGGGAGGAGACTTGGATGGGTACTGGAATGCTGTAAGTGGAAGGCTTCCTGTGGCGGGTGCAAATGACGGTTCTGATGATGACGCAGTGTACAGACGACACTGTGTGGGAGGTCATACTTCCATCCATTCGAATAGCAAGCTTGTATATCTCGCATGCGGATTTGTGGCCATGGTAATTATATCCTCAATTTTATGTAGTTCGCGATTAAATTTGCCTGTGTAGGTTTGATGGTCTGCTTGCCGCCGAGTGGACTGACATTCCACAGTCGGAGGTCCCTTTTACATTGATGACACCACGTTCAGGCTGGAAACGATTCAATACTAGAGATCCTCTAGTGTATGGGACTGAAGCAGGTAGAAGAAACGTCCGAGACAGAATCTTGAGCCATTCTAAGAATATATATTTCCGCCTAACAAGCTCGTATACCGATCCAGCAAACGGTGTTCTAGCAGTAGATCACAAATTTGGAAGTATTGCTGGACAAACGTTAACCAGCTCAATAAGCAACATTTCTGTTGTAAACATTGATTTCCATGCTCTCGCAGCTTTGCTTCCTGGAACTGTGGAAAAGTTGAATACTGCAGAAATACGTATGGTCCAGGGAGAAGTTGCAAAGACCATCATACATGAGCTTGGTGTACGCTATTTTTTTTAAAGTCCTCGATTTGGATGTCCTTCGTCTGGCTCTAACTTAGTATAGCATGCCCTTTTTCAGCAAACATACAAAACCTATTTGCCCAACCATAATGGCAATGAGATATATTTTCATCGGGAAGTAATTGCGGAAATGTAAGTAAAATCATTACCTACTTTGAGCTTTTACTAATTATTTCAGGGGGATATCGGTGAGTCTTTGCTGAATGTTAATAGCTATAGAATACTGATGTGTTATCATTCGCTTCTAGATGGAGCAGAGTGTAGGTGGATTCCTATCCGAGGGAAATATCAGCAAATATATTAATTTCGATTCAGGTATTTGGCGGGACTACACGGTCTCTTCGTGATGCACCAGATGATGCGTTGCTCGATTTGGGTAAGCATATTTAATATCCTCATGCAATCCAATATTCTAGTCTGGATAGCCCCTAGCCATAAAGTATATGTCAATGGCCATAATCATATCACACTAACTTGTCGTAGAGGGAGGAGTTGTGTTCAAGTAAGCAACAGCTACTAACAATAACCATTCCTTTCGTCTTACTCAAAGCAGTGATATAAACAACGCGGGCACTCACGGTAATGAAGGGAACCCAGTCCTACTCAATAAACCACCGGTGATTACTCCATCCCTTCGAGCTGTTTCTTCCCGCATTCAATTCACCACGATATACTTTGACAGTGCTGATTTAGCATCGAACCATATAGGACTTTTATACAGCTATATATTGGCCTGTTTCTATTACCTGGTATAGTAAGTACTGCACCGCTTTTTATTCATCGCTATACAATAAATTACATATTTTGGGACTGGTCTCTTTCTCCTCGAATTTATGTGGCTCGGTCCCCTCTTCTGTCTGGTAAATCGTCGACATGTTGACACATTTTAGTGGATATGGGAAGCAAAAGCAGATTTGAATCCTTTGTTATGAAGTGAGTCCAATTTATTTTTCCTCCAAAGTTGTTACTGTGAGTGAAAAGCTGAGATCGACAGATATGGAACACAAACTGTGAAATATAAAAAGGTCATAGGTACAAAGGTTGATCTCAAGGAAGATGGTACGAGATTCAGTAGTATAAGGGATCCGTTCATCGAGTTTGAGGGCATACCAAACAACGGTCAACATACCAGGTTAAGGTCGGACACATTGAATACTTCAGAGCCCCCTCGCAAACGACAGAGGATCCCAACCGCCCCAGCCGCCGTTGTGCGAAGGGCTCGTACTTTCCGAGGGCCAAGGCGCACCCAGGCAACAAAACCACAGATTGACACGCTTGCTGAATTCAGAGATCAAGATTTACCGCCATGTCCTCGGTTCGACGAGATTAGCGCGTATTTGATCGATAATCGTCGAGAGTTGGCTCTGCACACAATGTGTTTTGCCATGCCTGAGCATACTTTGGTAAGAGTGACTTTCAGTCTTGGGCTGTTGATCACAATTTTGATGGTGGCGTAAAGCTAATTTTAAGCGCAGCGTGATTATATTTTACGACTTGGTGGGCTGGAAATTAGTGCCAAAGAATGGCGTGCGTATCTTCTGCATTGCGAAGCCGTCCCGTATCTCTTTAGGTAATTTATGTTACTTCCATATTAGGCGTAGATGCTAATAGTGTGTAAGGTTCCAGCCGCATGGAAGAATTCGTGACATCTCGACTTATCGTGGCTCCATCCAACTTCATGCTTCCAGCTGGCCAAAGACGGATCTTCCACCCTTCAAGTCGATAGATGCAGGGGATGAACGTTTTATGAAAAAACTCGTCAAAGGGTTGAGACTTTGCATCGCTATGGACGCGCTCTCAAGAAAATACGACCAATTTTTAGATCAGATATGGCTCCATTCTGTCTTCTGGGACGTCGACATTGAGACATTCCTTACTTTGTTCAACGCCGATGTCAAACAGGGTGATGGAGTAGCGAGCATGGTTGGACTAGATCTGATTTCCAAAGAAGAAGTTGAAGATTTGATACAGGTTTTGGCATCTATTCGATTAGTACTTACGTGAGTGGCAATATAATTTGTGAGATCTGAAATTAACCAGTGTTCATTTTAGTTGGGCTCCAAAAGGCATCATCCGACGCTTACCACTAACTACCACGGAATGCAAAGTACTCACCAGTGGAGGAACAAGCCTAAGAGACATTGTTCTGCCCAAAGGTCGATCACTGATTGATTGGGATGCGGGATATGAGGCTTTGTGTAAGGTGAGTAAAACGTCTTTTGAACTCCCCTAGTCTTGCTCAAAATATATTCTCGACTGCTTGAGTTCCCCATTCACTTTGGGGCTTTTGTGGAAGCCGCAAAATAATACATTGCGATTCAACGGCTGATTATCCCAATTTTCAATTAGTGGGACGACGAGGATATGGAAACCAATCTGGAAACGCTGGACAAGGGGGACACGGGCATCACGTATGCTGACGGGCGACACGAAAGCGCCAAGGAGTACGCGACGCGTACCGAACCGCCGCCCGTCAAGACGCAAGCGCAGCTGGAAGCGGAAGAGTTTGCGCAGCAAGTCTTGGATTTGGATACTTCGGTTCTGGCGTATATGGAGGCGCATCCGGAGGCCGCGGACGAGGATATCTTTGAACAGTCGTTTTGGGAGATGTGGAGGGGGTTTCATGGCGAGGGGACGAGGGAGGATGCGCAGGAGGAATTTTATGATTCGTTGCCGCATCTTAAGGCGTTGAGGAGGGGGGGTGGGGATGCTGGTGGGGGTGGGGGTGCTGGGGGTGGGGGTGCTGGGGGTGGGGGTGCTGGGGGTGGGGGTGCTGGTGGAGGGGGAGGGGGATTGAATGTGGAGAATATTATGAATGCTATGGCGGCGGAGGGGAATTGTCCGGAGATGTGAGGGGTTGGGTGGGGTGGGGTGGGATGGGATTGGGGGGGGGGGAGGAGGAGGGGAGGGAGGGAAGGAGGGAGAGGAGGAGGAGGAGGAGGAGGAGAAAATAATAGCGAGATATTAATTATATAAATTTGAAGAGTTGATTTTTTATTATACTATTCTCTAGACTGTCAGCTAGCGGCGCTGTAAGTGGTTTATATACTAAGCAAGAATATCAATAACTTTATTAATAATATTATATATAAAGATTTTAATAATATATATAAAGATTTTGATAATATATATAAAGATTTTGATAATATATATAAAGATTATCATTTGTTAGAAAAATGATAATAAATATTATTAATTATATATCTATATAGTTTTTTTTAATTATAAAATAATAAAATAATAACTAAATAATTTTATAAATATTATTATATTTTATTTTAAAATATAAGAAGTATTTCTCAGTGATTTTTATATAATATATACTTACTTATAAATACCTATATATTAAATCAAATTAAAAACTTCATATTTATTAATAAAAAAAAGAGAGAATAAATTAAAAATTATATGAAAAAAATTAAAAATTAAAAAATATATTTTATTGTTTTTATTAAAATAATACTCATAGGAAGTAAATAATTATTATTATTGTTGGGATAGGGATCATGTGACTGACCGCGCTAGCGCATATGCTAGCGCCCCCGCACTATAGTATATACGTTCATAGCCTTTAGCTTTTAGAACCTTAAGTAATATTATAATAGTATGAATTATTAATACTATATTACTTTATTATTTTTATAATAATATTAATACTAATTAGTAATATTATAGATCAGGAGCCTGGTATCTTAATTTTAAATGTAATATGGATTTATAATTAAGGTTAGTATTTCTTTGAAGAGGTATAAGTTTTTATATCAAAGTAATATGATTTGATATTTACTTTTGTGTAAATAAGGATTGTTGATAATGTAGTAGCAATTCTTATATTCAATATTAATTTAATATAGTTTAATATTAATAAACAAATTTAGTTAGTAATATGGTGACAATCTTTACACTCAATTTTAATTTACATTTTATTTTTCGAAGTAATATATATTAAAGAATACAAATTAATAACTACTAGTTCAAGCTAAGTATTATCTTTTATAAATAAATATAATTTTATTGGGTTTGGTAAAGTTATATTTAAATATTTTATTTTATTTTATTATTTATCTATTATTCATCAATATGGTAGGATCTTATAAAGACAACTTTATAGAATATAAGATTAAATATAAGAATAATACTGGAAGTATAATAGAGTTTATTGTATTATTAGTTATTATAACTAATGATTTTAATACAATGACTGAGAGATGATAAGACAATTCGATTGATTTTATAAAGCAAATAGATATAAAAGAAATTAGGGATTTTTGTAAGTATAAATTTTATAAATATCAATAATCAAAGTATTACAACAAAGAACTATAATCAAATTACTTTCACAAATTCGAATACTTCAATTTGGAATATTTTCAAGTAGTTGGTATATGTCTTTTATATAAATTGAAATACGAATTATATTTGTATAGTATATTTATTATAAAATATAAGATCTGTATAATATAATCTGTTTATAATATTTTAATTGATGTAATTCAATTACTGTATAGAGAATAGTTAGATAAAGAGATTGTAGATATATTTGTAGAAAAGGGATTTACATTTTAATTGAAAAATATATAGAAAAAAATAAATGAAAAAGATATTTGAGTTTTTATATATATATTATTAAAAGAATTCGAGATATCTTAAGTGAATAGCTAGCCTATGTTACGGATCGGTATTTAATTATAATTACAATTACTTATATGTGTATACGTATATGTATACAATCATATGTATATAGTTGATATATAGATATATTTGATGAGTGTTTTGCTTTTGATTTTATAATTATAGATTCTAAGGACAAATTGTATCTTGTTTTTGTAATTCTTTTAAAATAAAATGTTATATTATCTATAACTTCTATATAATCGTACAGCTATCTGATAGCTATCCAAATAATATCTTATAATTATAATATCTTTTTGAATAAATTGTATATCAATATCATTTATAAAAAAAAAATCTATTCTAATTAAGATTTAATAAAGATATTTTCTTTAAATATATTGAGTTACAAATACTACTACTATATTCGATTTATTTATTTCAAAAGGACTTTATTACTTTCCCTTTATAATCAATTAAGCTTTTTTAATTAATAATAGCTAATTTCAATAAAGTAATAAACATAGTTCCTTCAATTTAAATATAAATATTAATAAATATAGAAAGAACAAATAGCCAGAAAACAACTCTTTAATCAAAAAATTAACTCTCAAAAATAATATATCAATATATATTTGTTTATCTCAAAAAAAACAATTACTAATTCTTATAGATTATAAAGTCTTATAAAACGAAATAGTAAAGTTTAAAAAAGAATTGTTATAATATAATTCTAATATTATTTATTTATTTCAATCTCTTCAATTCTGATAGTAATATTATATAGATTTCTTAAAGGATTATGGAATTCGAATTCCTAATATTCTAGTTACTTTTATTGAAAGGGTATCTTTTATTACTGGAAAAAAGAAGAATAAAAAAAACCCTGTTTGTAAAATTAGTTTTTGTAATAATCTTTTTCAAATATTAATAATAAACCCTCTTTAATTCTGATTATTCTATTAATTAATTCATAAATTCAATAAATACTTCTTTCTTATTTTCTTATTACTATAATAAAATATTTGTATATTCCGAAGCCTATCAATCTCTCATCTAAACTCAAGAATAATATAGAATCGAAAACAAATCTTTAGTAATTATTAATTACAAAATGATTTGAACTTTATAAAAACTTGTTTATTTCAAAACTACAATAACAATCCTATATAATAAAATAAACTAAAGAAAAAGTACAAGAATATATATTTTTGCTATATATATAAATCCCTTGCTTAATAAATTAGTAATTGATTAATCAACTTGTAGCTATTTACAAAAATCCGGCTAAAGCCGATTACGCTTATATTGAGTACAAATACTGGATTATATCTAATAATATATAATATAGAAATTTTCTAGTATGGTATTGTAAATTTAGGCTATTAGCTATATAAACAGAAATTACTAATTTGACAACTCTTTTTTATAATCTAGAAAAAAAGATTTTTGATTTTCTTTAATAAGCTATTAATCTTTATATTTAATAATACTATATTATAAAAAATCTAGTTAATAAATTTATTAAAATTAATAAATTCGAAATTATACTTTAGAAATATAATTATAATAAAATAATTAAAGAGATTTCTTTTAAAAAATCATTTAACAAAATTTTCTTATCAATTCTTTCTAAAATTGCTTTTTATTTATCAAATAATCTAAATCTATTTATTCAGATCTTATATCCCCTTTACACTCCTATTAATTATATAGAAATCTTTAAATCTAATAATATTCTATTTTCAGAAAACAACTTTAATTATAATATACCTACCCCCATATTAAAAGCAAATTATAATTTCATTTTTTATATAAATAATATAAATATTATAATCAAAATTCAAGAGATTAAAGAAAATAAAGAGTTTTATAATATAAAAAAGAATATTGAAAAGAATATTAATTTAAATATATAAATAAAAGTTATTGAGTTCGCTTGTATTATTGAAAATCAGTATTTAAATCAAAATATTTAGATAAAAGTTTCTTTTTAAGTATAGTCCGGAATATAAGATTTTTCAATTTAATAAAATTAATAAAAAATAATTTTATGAATTTATTATATATATTTTCAAAAAATAAATATTTATATTATATTTAAGCACTTATAAATTCTAGAATAAATAATTATATTTTTATTGATAGAATACTTCTTTTATTATTATTTTCTATATTTAAACCCTATTTTATACTACTCAAATCATTAATTGAAATCAAAAGCTATAATAATACAAAAAGCAAAATCATCATTTATTTAATCTTTCTTAATTTTATAATTAATACTTAACAATAATTCTATTTGTTATTTTTTATTATTGATTTAGATTTATATAGTATAATCCTAGATTGTAAATAATTAATAAAGATTCAAATCAAAATTAATTATTTTAAACAATATTTTGAATAACCTTCTAAATATTCTTTTACTATTTCTTTATTAAAAAATATATTTCTAATTAAAAATAGTTTATAATAATCTAGAATCAATTACTTAAAACAAAAAGATACTAATAATCAAAATATTTAATTGAAAAAGATATATTACCATATTAATAACAAATAATAGAAAATAATATCAATTATATTTATAATATTTATTATACCTTTCTAAAAGCCTAATATAATAATCCCTGGTATAATTAAATCCCTGATTTTAATTAATCTGGGAAAGAAACCTATTTTTAATTAAGTTTATATTCAATTCATTTATAAATCTCTCTCACTATATATCTTTGATACATACGATATATATATACTTAAACCAACTTAATTCCAGTTTATCTATAAAAAGAATAAAAACTATGAGATTTTTATAGTTACCTATAAAAAGATTGATAATATTATTTCAAATTACAAATCTACTTAGGATAACAATTATCGAATTACAACCACAATTGTTTCCCTCAATAATTTTAAATTAAAAACTATTATTACTTTCAATCATATTATTACAAATATTAAAACAGAATCTCCAATCCCTGAGGTTTACTAGCAATATTATTGAGTGTTTTCTAAATACAAGTTCAACATTCTACCTCCCTTTTGATTATATAATTATAAGATTATTTTTGAAAAAGAAAACAAAAAAGATTTTAAATATAATTTATTGTATAAGATATTATTCGAACAGCTTAAAATTGTTAAAGAATATATTATCGAAAATCTTATTAAAGGATTTATAAAACCCAGTCAAGTATTATTTATAATACTAATTCTCTTTATAAAAAAACCAAATAGAA